CCTCTAGTAATATATTTACTGAGAAAAATGGTGACGTGTTCAATACTTATTTTACCCGCTGTATGTGAGCTCAGGTTTAGAGGTGACTATCGCGAGGTGAAGGGCGATAGAACTGAGTAATGACGCTGGTGACTTTGAACTTATAGGGTGAAGGTGGAGCCTGTCACTCGACGTTCAACGTCACCACATCACCGATCCAAAGACGTGATTAGAGGTGGCTTCAGCCAGGTGCGCGTGTCCCATATACAACTGTGTGTTGTACTGAGTGAAATGATTGAAAAGGAACTTTCAGTTCTTTTATAGCATTCCTGCTATGACTTTTGGTATTTCAACAATTTGTACTATATGAGATTTTTAGCTTTTTGTATCACTATTTTTCTCATTGAAAATGAATGTAGCTTCTTGTCAGTATTCTCAAAACTCTTCAAAATGTTCACAAACCTTTACTGTACTTTTTACCTTTTGTTCTGGTTCTGCTTTTTTAACTTCTTTTTGCTAATTTCAGCTTCCCTTGGTTTGCTGATTTAAAAATTTTTCTGCTCTTTTATTATTTTTCTTAAAGTAACTCTTTTATTGAGAGAGAACATTATACAGTTGCATGAGAATTTGCATTAGTGTTGCTGTCACATTTTTAAACTTTTTGTTTAAATAAAAACAAAACAACATTAGAGCTTGGGTGGCAAGGTGGCCAAACTACAATCATATTATTGACATGGATGTTTAAACCTGTGCACCAACATATAAAGCAGCAAGTTTTATATGAAATCAGATTTAACTGGCTTAATGTTGTGTGCTATTTTACTTTACTTTCTGCTCCTTTTTGCTTTTCTTCTGCCTATTTAAATTTTCTGTGCTTCTTTCAGCTAATTTCTGCTGATTTCAGCAAATGTACTCTTTCTGTTTCTTTGTGGTTATGTAGGCTCTTTCAGCTACTGTTTAGCTGTATTTTCTGCTAATTTCAACTGTTTGTTATTTTACAACAAAATGCAACTTTTATGTACTTCTTTAATTTCAAAGTCACAAAATAAAAAGTCAAGGTCACTGGTTAGCTATTTTTTTTTGCATTTGTACCTTCTTTTGTCTAAATTTCAGCTGAACTTTTTAAATACAGCCCTGATTAAAATATTAAAACCATTGAAAAATGTCAAGAATTCACCTTTTCTCTCTTTCAACATGGTTGGATTATTGAGCTGCATAAGGAAGGCCTCTCACAGTGTGAGAGCTGCAGAGGTTCGACGCAGTAAGACCATTATTTTTAACTTTTTAAAAGATCTTGTAGGTTATGGCTCACAAAAATTTCAAGTGGTAGACCCAAAATAATGTCAGTATCCCTGAGGCAGAGGATCCAATTGACTGTCCGTCAAGACACGGGACCATCCTCGACCCAAATTAAGTTTGTCACTGGTGCCAGCTGCAGTCCTATAACCATCAGCATCAATGAGAGAAGGGCTTTTAGAACAAAAAAACAAGTCTTCAAATACCCCATCTTCTTCAGTGGCACAAATTGCCCATTCAGAGTTTGCACAAGAGCACCAAACATGGGACATTGAAAGGTAGAAAAAGTTTTATTCTCTTTATTCTTTGAGATATGGTCTTTGATCAGCTGATGAACAACCTACTTCACCTTAATTCGTGTTTGCAAGAAAATGCTTTTTGTCTCACTCCCATTTCTTAACTCTAATTAGAACCTTCTTACGATCCAACAGTGCAAGATGTGAATTCTTGCCATTTTTTAACTGGTCTTAAAATTTTGATCTGGAGTGTATATTTTATTTGTAAATTCACCTTTTTTGCTTCTTGCATCTCCTTAGTTGCAACCTTTTTCTGCTTTTCAACTACCTTTTGCTAGTATTTACTCATTTCTTCTAATTTTAACTACATTTCAGAATCAGAATCAGCTTTATTGGCCAAGTGTGTTGACACACACAAGGAATTTATTTCTGGCTGTTGGTGTCTCTCTAATAYACATACAGTACAATGCACAGTAACATAAGCATATGCATTTCTGCTCTGTTCTGCCTTTTTGACACAGTCTTGCTTTTTTCCCATTGATTTTCCACTTTTGTTGGCTTATTTTCAGCAAAGGTCAGCTTTAATTTAACTCGCATTAACAGCTTTGCTGTAAAATATTTTCAGCTTCTTCAGCAGTTTTTAGCAAACATCTTTCAGCATTACCCAGATAGTAAAATATGAGTGAATCAGCATTTAAAGATGGCCAGGCATGATGTTGAATCTATGTTGAATTATACAAAAAGTGGTTGGTGATTTACTTGTTGAAACAATGTTAGGTTTTCAACCATAACTGATATTATATCAATATTGATTCAACACTAAATAGACGTTGGCATTTCAATAATTAGAATTCAGCCATGAAACAACATAGGTTACGTTCACACTGCAGGCAAATCCGACCCAAATCCGATTTTTTTGACCCATCTGACTCATATCCRATTTTTT